AGCCCTTACTGAAAAATGCCTCTTGAAGCTGAGGGATTTGTAGAGCTAAGTCGTTCTCCGCTTTCTCCATACCTTCATTGTATGCAGCATCCTTTCTCTCTGTTGCCTCAGACTTAAATTGATCAAATTCTTCAAGGAGGTGAAGTAGTCGAGTTAAGATTGTGTGAGCTCCACGTTGACTTCATGCTCGAACTCCTTTAGCTTCTTGACCTCTACTTGAAGATTTTGGTTCTCTTCAATTAGGTTTTGGTTTTAAGCCTGCAGAACCTTCACTTCCTTGTAGAGTTTTTCATATTCCTCATCAACACTCTCTTTTTTTGCTAAGGCCGAAACTCGGGCATGGATAACGTCCTTCATTGCTTTATCTTTACGAGCTATCCAATCACCGACCTCATGAACTTTTTGCTAACCCTTAAAGAAGAAGAAAAAGACTTAGAAAAATCTAAGGCTAAAAAAGCTTAAAGGAATATCAGAAACATGACTTATCAAAATCATATATTGAATGGCTTGACGAGACACCTCATCATTAGTAAGGGCCTCGTTCATAGCCAAGTCCCGAGGCAAAATCACTCCCCGAGCAACTTCTACTGCAACATTGAAATCCTCTATTGCAGAATCCTTTACAATAATTTCTCTCCTTTTAGCCCTAAGGATCGGTCTGAAAGGAGGATTCACAAGTTTGGGAGAGAGACTCGCCTCGGTCTCGACAATCTTTTTATATTTGAAGCTGGTTCTTCGACGAGTTTGAAAACTGAATCATCTTGTGGAGAAGGGGAGCAAACAGTATCTGGAGGGTCTAACTTAACTAGAATTGAAGTTTTGATAGTCTTAACTATATCTGCTTGCCCACTGGTCGGCAGATCAGCATCATTAGGTAGAGAAGTTTCAGCCAAAACCTCGAAAATAGGTTCCTCAAGGATAGAAATCAAAATCACTGGAGTAATTGGAGTTGGCTTGGTGGAAGGAGTCGATTCGACAATTGATAAAAAATCAAGAAAGTTTTTTATCGTTCTGTGCCCAGAGGCTACAAGAGAAGACTTCTTGGCTTGAGGAGTCTGTACCCGAGCAGTCTGGATCACCTCCCGATCTGCAGCTAAAGTGGTGTTGGGTCGGTTCGGCATCGCAACGAAAAAGGTGTAGGTTGGAGTGTACCTAAGCAGCGTGTGGGCGGCTCGGCAAAATATAGTCTCATTGAAATTCCAAACTTTTTGAAGTTGGTCTATCTTTACAGAGGACTCAACAATCCTTCCCTTCACAGTTTCGCCTACGCAGAAGAAAACCCAAGTCAGAAAAATAGAAAACAAAATCTAAAACAGAAGGACAAAGACATCAAATATCTGGCATGCCTTCTTCGTAGGGACAACGGTAGGAAGGAACTGCACCAGCAGCGTACTCCCAGTTTCTAGAGACAAAAATGATATCATTCTCATGGCCTTTGTTAGAATCTGGGAGATGGGTCACAAGGTAGCGATCCTTCTTCCTTACCGATAGATAGTAGTTATCTCCAACAGCCTTGATAATGTAGCAGTATAAAATCTCCCATAACCTAAGACTCAAACCTAGAATCTTGTTCAAGGAGGACACCCCCATGATGATCTTGAAAAAGTTCAGACAACATTGAAGGGGACAGAGCTTTGCAGCAGAGAGTACCCAGATCAAAAGGGGATCAAGAGGGAATCGCATGCCAGCCTCGGTTATAACATGAGTAGGGATAGGGATTGACCCTCTTGTGCCAATCAAGGGCTCATCTTTCCCAGCAACTCTAACCTCGACATCGTCTGGAATGTTGTACTTGATTTTGAAGACAGGAACTTCTAAGAGAGTGAGAGGAGCCATGAAAAAGATGAAGTGCGGAGAAAGAAAATGCAGAAAGAGAGAATGAGAGTCTGAAAGCAAGAAGGCAAAATGAATGGAAGACGAAGAGAAGCAGTTTATAGAGAGGAATTTTAAGAGGATATTTAAATGCCCTGAATGTGCCGCCAAAACAAAGAGGGATGTTACAGGGTACAAGCAATATGATGAAAAGGTATAAAATGGTTGTCAGACCTTTTCTGGGAGTAAATGAAGGGGCTAGCCCTCATTATTACATGTGTTATAGTAATTAATGAGCTCATGTGAGGATGATAAGACATGGCACTTGACAAAGACGTCAACTGCTCGGTGAAAAAGTCTTAACTGAACTAACTAATGTGTTCGGTAAAGTAATATTGGAGCTCGGTCTGTTCCCAACCATGATCATTAATATGTTCAGCAAGGCAACGAAATAGCTCAGCTTGTACCAAATCGAGTTGATCAATCAACTCAGCAAACATCGAAATTGTTCAGCCCTTATTATGTCCAAGCTCTTTGAAACGATAGATAGAAAGATAGAAATTCGCCTATAACTTAAACATTCAGATAAACGAATCAACGAAATTGAAGATACCAAAAAGAATTATTAAAGAAATATCAACAACTTCCTAAATTAAAACCCTAGATTGAAGGAAGGTGTGTCACCTTAAACCAAAAATCACGAAAACCTTAATGGGATAATGATTTATAAAAACCCAAAAGAACCAAGTTAAAAGATACATTGAACTCTCCTGGTCTTCTTGTAATTATCTCGGTCTCATTACTGATTTAAGCATCAGAATGCTTTCGATCGAAACACCTCGATCTTGAGCAGTTTATTCGTTTTACAGAAAACAAAGACTAGGAGATCAAATTCAAAAATATTCATTACCAAGAATATCAAATTCAAATCTTTAGTGAAAGGTATCCTTAATTTTTACGCTATACACAAAAAATCCAAAAAGACAATTTTCCTTATGAGCACCTCGACTCTATGTTGTTCATCAACAACAGCTTCGCCTCCAGAGGGATACACAGATCCTAGAAAAAGACAGAGGAAAGACATCTTGTTTGAAGAATTAGGATCACAAACCAACCTCCACTACCCAGACCCCAAAGATAGTCGAAATCAGCTCATCAGTCATCAACCTTTATCATCATACATCAGTATCCTCTTCTGGCGAAAATGGTTTTCCTCTTAGTAATTAAGTTGATGCTACATGCCCCAAATGTACTGCTGGGTATCCAAAATCCATAACCACTGAAACCCAAAAACGCCAACCTAAAAGCACATCACTGACCTCGGCAACGACACAATCATGCATTGTTGGGCATCCAAAACCAACAACCCCAACAAACCAACCTTAGTTCTCATTCATGGCATCTGAGCTGTAAAACACACACCCAGACAGGGGAGAGAAAGAGAGAAAAGGAGTGAGATGGAGATGACTCTTTACTTAAACCACAAAATACTCACCTTGTTCCAAGATCACCTAAAGATAGACACAAATCAAAGACTGAGAGGAGAGAGAGAGAGAGAGCCATAACTTGCTGCACCGTTCGTGGATGGGGTGATTTTGGGAGGGTTTTGGGGCCGACAGATAAGGGTTTGAGAAATGGGGATTTTCGTAGAGAGAGAGAATGAGATGGTTTTGGCCGAGAGGTAAAGATCCAACGCTGCTAAGCAAGAAAAATAGAGAGAAAGCGCCAAGAAAGAGGGAGACAGACCCATCGCTACACAAATACAGAGAGAGAGAAAGAGATCGATAATCGACTTCTCACAGACACCCTCAATTTCGTCTTTATCTTATGGACACCTTCGATTCTGTGTTTTTGTTGTCTTGACGAGGGTTTCGGTTGACTAGATAATAGATGACGAGAGAGAGAGAGAGAGAGCCTTATTACTGGCCAAGGACCACTCGGCTGAAAGAGGAGTGAAAAGGGTTTTTGGAAAAGGTGTGCATGAGTGTTTTAGTAAAATTTCAAATGTATCCGGTTGATGGAATTTTAATCCCACATGCTTCGTGGGTTAAAAATATCCGGCTCAGAACGGATATTGGTCTCATTTCATAGGGGCTGATGTTTTCAAGCCCAACGATTATCCCACCCTCTTTTTCGGATCTAAAGCTGAGCTATATGGCCCCCCAGACTATTTTAACCCAATCCCTCACCTTATTCTCCCTAATCCTACCAAACAAACACCCCTGTATAGTTTATAAAACTATACAATTTGGAAACATGCTTGAGTCATAATGACTTGCAAACTATAACAAGAAAAAAAACTATACAATATATACATTTAGATTATGTTTCACTCGATATTAGATCAATTCTCATATATAATTTTTTTTAATCAAAAGGAGAGAGAAGGGAGAGTTGAATCAATAATCTACTACTAAACTCCACAGAGGGAAGAATTTATCATAAGCATCCTTAGGGTTTGGATAAGTATGGTGATAAGTATATGTGATAATTTATTTTTATTTTTATATACTCATGTTTACAATAACTTGAATTTGTGACTAATCATCAAATTTTGAAAAAGAATGAAAAAAATATTATGGCAATAATTATGCGTGTTAAAATATGGCATGACACAATGAAGAGGTTTCAATTTTTTTTAAGTCACCCGTTTCGTAAACGATTGGATTTGATACGACATCATTAATAAAAGAAGAGGGTATCAACGAAGTTAATAAAAATAATGTACAACATGATTCGTTTATATATTGGTTATATATGATTGACACATGATATGAACTCAATATTATATGACTCGTTCGACACAAATTAAAAAACGAATCATGTATAGATAAAGTTAATCAAACCAAATATACGACACGACTCGTTTATATATCAGTTATACACAATTGATAAAGTGAACATAAATTCAATATGACACGACTCGTTAGATAGAAATTTTTTAACGAATCGGATATGAATGAAGTGTTATTTGACAAGAATCCGTTAAGATCTAACACGAATCCACTTCACTCGACACAATTGACAGCCAACTGTCTAATAGTTTTGCATTTCAACAAAAGTTGGAGGAAAATTAACATCTATATATATATATATATAAATACATATAAAAATACTTATTATCCTCCACACTCTCTCTCTCTCTATATATATATAGACTTAATTAGCCTGTGCTTTGGTAGCAAAGGAATCATCACAATTCAACACACTATTTTATCTATCAAATCAAGAAAAATTTAAAATTTAAAAGGGAATAAAAAAAGAAGAACAAATCCAGCACACATCACATGTAGGGGAAAGATTGCTACCTCCCCATGTATAATACAAAATATGGAGAGAGAAAGATAAGCAAGGTTTCGGTGAGTTCAGAGCTAACTCGGTCGACCGGTCATGAGTCAACTCAGTGATGTGGGGGACTTGCAGGTTGATGAAGGGTTGTTGGATTCTTGCACTGGTAGCACTTTGCAAAGAGCCCAAATGTGTCAACTTGTCTGACGAAGTTGGTCATGCTGGCCCATCCACCGAACCCGAACCCGACTACGAGAACCCAACCCACCACGAAAATGTTGATCGCATACATGGCTGTCCAGCTAGACAGGAACACTGGAGGCTTCTCTGCTGCATTCTGTAATTACATAATAAATTAAATGGGTGTAAAACAAATTAGTGATGCCCTTCAATCTAAATGTATCAATTTACAGTCCTATTCAATGGCAAATGTAACAGTAACACTGAAAGGTCACATAATCGAACATTGTCCATCCTTTAGGGCTATCCCTCATTGACTTTTTCTAATAATTGCGTTAAGTATGTGTTTCGATGTTACGTAGGTATTCCGTGCTTCAAGAGGCCTAGATACCGCTTAGTTAGAATAAAAATCTGTTCAACTTTGGATTATGCCGGTCCGGTGATACTGCTAATACATAATAAAAAAAAAATCTGGATAACTCCAAATTGGAAAAGAAAATTAAATTTGGTCAGGTATTAAGGTCAAGGGAAAGCGAAAGGTTCCGAGATTCATAGTTAGGTAAAATTTGGTAAGATTGGGACTGAGTTGACAGTTGAGTCAAGAGTTTGGGTGGTTAAATTTCATGGAAAATGTGGTAAATAAGTCCAATTTTGAGACGTAAGAGGGAGGCAACAACTACCCAACTCATGAGACATGGTACAACACTCATATTGTAGCAAATAACTAAATGAAAAGGACCTGCCACCTATCTCGAGTCATCTTAGAGATACTTCCAAATCAAAGCCATTAATGCCATTGTACCCCCACCCGGCCACCCCCCCCCCCCCCCCCCCCCCCCCCCCCCCC